CCTTTTCATATGTATTCATTTTTTTTAATTGTATCCTTTGGTATATATGGTTGTGACTATTTTCTTCCACTATTTGATCTGAGGAAGTGGGTCTGGCCCACAAAAGCTCATCATCTAATAAACCATCTTGTTAGTCTTTAAAGTGCTACATAGTCCTGTATTTTGTTTCAATGATAGGAAGAGTTTTTCTTTGGTGTCAACCCAGGACCAAAAGGAGTAAGATATGCACCAAGGCACTTAATACCGGGTCCTATCTTCGAAGCTGATAAGCAAATTCCATATGGAGCTGCTTAAGGCAAAAGTCCTGCTCCTTTCTGATGTGTGGTTTGAAGGGCTTGCAGATCTTGCACCTATCTGCCTGATGAGCTTCCCTCAGGTACCAAAGGCATGAGTCATGGGGCTTGCCCAAAGGCATAGATTTGAGGCAAGACCTGCAGGGTCTGGGACTTTGGCATGACGACTGTTCCAGATCACCTTCCTCTCCTCAAGTCTTTCAAAATGGATTTCTTGAAGATCTGCTCCATGATTATTCCAGGCCCGAGGTGAAACTGATTCTCTTTTTTTCCTTTATTAAAGATGGGCACTACCTTTTTCCAATTATCTATGATCACCATCAGTTTTCAAAGATAATGACCACTGGTTATGCATTCGCATCAGCAACCTCCCTCCGCACCCTTGGATACACTGCAAACAGCACCATGGACTTGTGCATGTTCAGCTTTTCTAAATAGTCCTTAACCTCTTCTTTTACAGCTGAGGGCTGCTCTTCTCTTTCTCCTCACACAGTGCTACCCAGTGTAACAATCAGAGGGATGACCTTGTCTGTAAAGATGAGGCAAAAAAGGAGGACTGCTTGGATCTATCTTGGAAAGGCTAGTTCTCCCTGGGAGAGCCACGGAGGAGCCATGCTGTTATATGTAGCTTGCGCAGAGCTGGGTAAGTTTACCCTGTCTGCCCCAGAGTGATCAAACTATGTTGGAGGGGGACATTGATGGGTGTGCAAATCAACATTTTGAGGAGAAAAGGATACCACAGTTGTCTAGGCAAGGTGGAGGCTATCAGGATGATTGTGGAGCCATTCGTCCTGATCTTCTGAACAACCCTGTCCAGAAGTGGTATAGGGGTAAAAGTATAGGAGAGGTCCTGATCGCATTGGATGAGGAAGGCATACCTTGGAGATCCTGTCCCGATGCCCGTTCTCGAGCAGAATTGAGTGTATTTAGGGTTGTGCAATGTTGCAAACAGATCTATTGATAGTCAGTCCCACCTGTGAAAATGGGAGCGTGCTATCGAGCAGCTGAGAACCCAATCATGATGTTGGGGGAAATGCCTGCTGAGAGTGTTGGCCATAATATTGGAGACACCTGGTATGTGGATTGAGGAGAGGTGAATATTGTGTCTGATACAGCAGTTCCACAATTTTATGGTTTTGGTGCAAAGGGAAGGAGATCTGGCTCCTCCCGGTCTATTGATATAGAAAACACAGGTAATGTTGTCTGTGAGGACATGGAGAGAAGGCAAGAAATGCCGGCAAGCATTGTGTATGGCGTGCAATTCTAGGAGATTTGTGTGTAAAGACATCTCTAGGGTTGACCAGAGGCCTTGGGCAGTCTGATCTCAGAAATGAGCACCTCATCTGGTGAGGGAGGCATTGGTTGTAATAGTGCACGAGGCGGAAGCCTAGAGGAAGGGGACGCCTGTGCAAAGGTTGGCTGATTCCGTCCACCAAATGAGTGATGTTTTGACCTTGTGTGGTATCGTGAGTGAGAGCAACATGGCGTGTTTCCAAGGTTTGTAAGCTCTGGAAAACCAAATTTGTAGACAACGCATGTGAAGTCGAGCATGCGGTACTAAGAACGTTGCGGCCACCATGTGGCCAAGAAGCTGTAGGCAAACTCTGGCTGTGGTGCGAGCGGCGAGGTAGAGGGCCATGGTTCTAGCAGCAGTTTAGGCTGCATCAAGTTCCACCTGGAGGGCAGCTCTAGAAATGGCGTGTCCCTCGGAAAGTAAGGCAGAAAATTTAGGTCTTTTTGCCTCAGGGATATCAGCGACGAAGTCCATGAGCTCGGAGTAATTGCAAAAGTCGTATTTCACTAACAGAGTAGTTTGAGATTCTGAACTGTAAAGTTGCAGAAGTATAAGTCTTACACCCAAATAGATCGAGGCTCTTTGTGTCCTTGTCCGGAGGAGTGGTATGGAAGCAACGCTATTTTCTCCACTGGTATGCGCCTTCCACCACTAGGGAATTCAGTATGGGCTGACTGAAGAGGAATTGCAAGGTATTGGCGGATACCTAATATTTTTTGTCCGCACGCTTGCACATGGGTGGAATCGATGCAGGCGTTTGCCAAATTGTGTTGGCCAGATCTAAAATGTCAGGATTGATGGGGAGGGCAATTTTGTAGGATGGAGATGCCTGGAGTATATCAGTAAGCTCATGCTGAGGTTGCACCAGTTCCTCCGGGGTGATTTTGAGGTCAGCCACAACTCTCTTAAAAATATCATTAAACTGCTGGTAGTCATCCGCTGGTGGCGGTAGCATGATTGCCTTGTCCGGTGATGAACAATTGGTGGGCGGGGGCGAATCCGGGGGGGGCTGCAGCTTGTGGAGCCTCTGATTGTTGCATCGATGTGGATGCTCAAGGTGTAAGAGGCAGCGTGTTTATAAAGGCTCACATGCAGGCTGTGGTATCTCCTATATGAGCCCCAAGGACTCCAATAAGGCCATTATGCCAGACAGTACTGGAGGAGGCGCCAGCGGTATCCATACCAAGGAGGAATCACTCTTGGATCATATTTGGGCTTGTAATATTGCATCGGAGGGCTGCGGTGCAGCGAGGAGGCGGCCTGTACCTCCTCTTCATCATTGCTAGAGAACTGTGACTGCACCGCGGATAAAGCCCGTGATGACATTGGTACCGGCGAAGCATCGGTACCAAAGAGTGGTGATTAAGGGGCTGATGTGACTGCCAAGTCAGCACTTCACATGTACAGCAATGCTGCCAGGAGGATTGGTGCTGGGGTTTGTAATGTGTGCCTGAATGGTGCAGATGGAGTGTTCGGTATGGATGGCAGAGATCACTGGTACGTCAGCAGTACCAAGTATATGAGTGGTACCAATGATCTGATCGGTGCCGACGGTGCCAACAAAAGAGAAGGTACCATCGGTGCAGTGGAAACGGTCGGTGCCGTAGAGCCCGGTACAGATAATGGCATTGCTGCTGTAGTCGTTGGTACCAGTGGTGCCTGAGCTGGTACCGATGTGGATGACAATACTGAGGTCCGTGCCAGTACAGTCTTAAGGCAATGGTTGAGCCCTTTGCAGTCGGTGCCTGGACACCTGAGGTACCTGGCACACCATAAATGCTGACACAAGGCCTCTGAGCTGATGGTTTGGGAGGAGACCGTTTTCTCGAGGGCTGATAATGGAGCAGAAAGAAACTCCTTTTTGTGTGCCTTCTTACCCTGAGGTGAGCCTGGGGGTGAACGTACCTCCCTAGGCTGTCTTCCTGGGTCCAAAGCCAGATGTACCTTCTTTTCCAAAAGGACGAGTTTGAGGCAAAGATTCCTGTCCCTGTGAGTTCTGGTCCTAAGTTTGGCGCAGTGGGGACAATCTTGAGAGGAAAGATATTCTCATAGACATCTGACGCATTGCGATTGTCTGTCTGAAATAAGCATTGCGTCTCTACAGGAGGCGCAGTGTTTTAAACCCGGAGAGCCAGGCATGACAAATTTTTATTTTGGTAACTACTACTAACTATCAAAACTGTTAACAACACTAACTAAAACTAAGAATTAATAGCTAACGAACGATGAAAGGTATGAACAAGTCAGAGAACTGCAGAAGTCCGTCTCAGGCCGAGGGCGGTTGAGAAGGAACTGGAGGTGTGGGCCACGCATGCCCAGGGCCGATTAGCACTGTGCGTGCTGGTTGGTGCTGTGCATGCACCACCCGGCAGGGATTGCTGCAAAATCTCCGATCCAGGCGCCATAGGGACCTCTCGAAGAACAACATTCATTTACGTGAAAACATCAAAATAGGACGAGGGGCTGGGCTGGCCTTAACCATCCAAACCCATTGGCTTTGCCCTTTGATGATGGCCATCATCTTTCCACCTACCAGGTGTTGCAAGAGTTTGTTCATTTCCTCCTCATACACAGCTTGCTGAAGGCTAAGGATATCTTTATATTGCTGCTCCTTCCTTGAGAGCTGTTGTGCCATCTTCTCCCGCTCTTGCTCAGTTGTGGTTCTCTCTGTTTCCAGCTCACAACAAAGGCACTTCACTTCTCCTGCGAAAGAGAAGACAAGGCAAGCGATTAAACCCCTCTCCTTTCCTTGAGCTATTAAACACTCAACTGCAACATGCCAAAGCTTTCTCTGTCCCAGAAAGGTAGTGGGCCATCTCCATCTTTTACTCCATAAAAGCCCTTCTGCCCCATCCACAGAAGGGATATTTTTGGTTAACTGTGCTGCTCAGCTTTACCTTGTATCACCTCTTTGGCTTGGGTGACAGTCTGAATGTTGACTTCCAGCTGACTCCTAGTTACCTCCAGCTGAGACACCTGCTGATGAGCCTCAAATAGGCAGGACTCCAGGATCTCCTTTGCTGATCTACAGGATATAAATGCAAAGCAATAATGAATCTCTTGCATTTGCAGTGTAGTTGTAGTCATGTTGGTCCCTGGATATTGGAGAAAGAAGGTGGGTGAGGTAACATCTTTTATTGAACCAATTTCTGTCGGTGAGAGAAACAAACTTTTGAACTTACACTAAGTGTTTCTTCAAGTCATGCATTTCATACGTAGCTATATAAATGGTGGAACACATTGTTTAGCAGAAGCCGTTAACACATTTCACAGGACCATTTTACATGAAGTTAATGGGCTGCTAGTAAAACATGTGCAAGTTCAGGTAGTTGGACCAACAATATCTGTATTAATAAGCAAAATAATTTCAATGCTTAGAGACCACCACTCTTAACAGTACAACTCAGCTATGTAGGCTGACAAAAAACATGAGCTTCCCTGGCTAGCTAATGATAACATTAACAAAGGAACAGCTATACTGGATCAGACTAATGGTCCATCTAGCCTAGTATCCTGTCTTCAGACAGTGACTGGGACCATGCACTTCGGAGGGAATAAGGAGGAAAGGGCAACAACAAGTGATTTTCCCCTTCATCTGGCACTCAGACGCTTAGGGACACTCAGAGCACGGGGTTGCGTCCCCTTGGCTAATAGCAATTGATGAACTTACCCTCCATGAACTTATCCAATTCTTTTTTTTAACCCAATTTTACTTTTGGCTGTCACAACACCCTTTGACAACAAATTCTAAAGGTTGACTGTGTTGTGTGAAGAAGTACTTCCTTTTGTTTGTTTTAGACCTACTTGCTTATTATACTCCTGGCAACTTTCTGCATGAAAAAATTGAAAATTCTGCATATTTTATTTGTCAAAATAATGCAATACAGTCACACCAGTTTCAGTTGTTTTGGTAATTTATTTAAACTACAATACAGGAAAAAAGTGACAATAACTATTCAGCATTTCCTTAACATATGAAAATTAAGTTACAAACACTTGGTAACTCATACCCTGCATTCCAGTTGTAAATTACATTGCTGAACAAACAAAATAAATACATACATAAAATGTCATTTAAACTGTGCATACATGGAAGTCATATACTTTTGCTAAACGTTGCCCTAGCACTGACTGGTACTTGGGAAAGTGCTTGCTTCTGATTGTTCTAATATTTTATTGATTGCTTGATGTTTAATTTGCCCTCAAAATCTTTTTTTTAAAATGGGTGATAAGCAAAATTAATCCTGAGCTACACCCATTGTGCTGCTTGGGCACAGGAAAAAAGAGAAACACATAGATCTTCCTACCTGATTCTATGATTGTTATTTGTAAGGCTTTGCTTTACATCACTCTGGCAATGTAGGGGACTTTCACCTTCATAATAAAAAAACCCATATGCCTCTACAGATCTCTCTGGTCCGCTCCCCAACCGCAGGACCCACAGCAGCAATCAAGAGAGACAGAGTTGGTAAGCATGCATGCCCAGCCTCTCTCTCAGTGCCTGAGTGGCTGCTCCAGCTATGCCAAAACAAACCCACTGCCTGTGCTGCTAATGAAGAGGTGTGTCCCCCTGCAGATTTCTTTTGAGCAGGAGAGAAGGGGACAAAAATATGTGGGTCATGTGAATTCTGTCAGAAATATTAATTTCATTGCATGACCTTTGATTTGAATATTATGTGAATTGAGTAAATAACACTCCCGTACTCATTTTCTCCACGTCATTCATGATTTTATAGACTTCTATAATATCCTCCCTTAGTCATCTCTTTCCCAAACTGAACAGTCCCACACATTTTAAAGTCTCCTCATAGAAGCTGTTACATTCCCCTAATTGTTTTGTTGCCTCTCTCTATACCTTTTCCAATTCTAAGAGATCTTTTTTCCCCCCTGAGATGGGGCAACCAGAAATGCACATAGCTTTCATAGTGTGGATATACCATAGATTTATATTGTGGTATTATGATATTTTCTATCTTCTTATCTCTCCCTTTCCTAATGGTTCCTAACATTCTATTATTTTTTTCCGAAAAACTAGCAATAACAACTCCAAGATCTCTTTCTTGGGTGGTAACACATAATTTGGACCCCATCATTTTGTATGTATGGTTGTGTACGAGGTTCCCCTCGTCCCCGAGTACCCCTCTCCCGGTTTCCCTTCACCAAACCCACTCAGTCTGGTCAGTGTCTATAAGTTTATCACGCTTAGGTCGCGTTATAGATGCGCCGGGGCCAATTTTCCCCCGCCCCGATTCACGTCGACTGGTATGCCGGCTCACTGAGGAGAAGGGAGTTCGGGCCCGCCCTTGCTCCGAACCCCGGCCCAGGGCCCTAAAGTTCAGACACCGGTCCAAACTAGCGGAGGGGGTCGGAAAACCCCTAAACTCCTCCGCTCTTGGGGTCCACTCCCCCGCACTGGGCCACTTCTTCCCCCCCGTGTTCCCTACCAGGTAGTCAGAGGACCCCGGGGTTGTGCCTCACCCCAAGGCCTCCAAAGCTTTGGATCTGCTTGCCGCCGACTCCCTTCTCTGTTCACCAGGGAGCTTCCCTCTCCCCCCCCCCGCTGGCCCGGGTCCTCTATTTAAATTGCCCGCCCGGATGACGTCCCCTCCAACGTCATCCCCCGCGTCACTTCCGGGTCGCCTGAGGGTGACGTCCCTGGTGACGTCACTATGTCCGGCCCCTGGCCGCTCCGGCGTTGTCCTTCCGCCCTGCCGCCCGTCACCGGCCCCGGCGCTCCCCGCCCGAGACTCTCCGCGGCATCCTGTGCCCACCCCACCCCCGTCCTCCAGACACAGCGGGGACCCCGGGGCTTCCGGAGGGGGCGGGTCCGACCCGCCACAGGTTGGGTGTAGGAAATTGAGGGTCTAGGCATAAGCCCGTATATCACAGGCCTGGTGTGAAATGTAGGCACAACGGTCAAGACTTTGCTAATATAAAGCAAAGAGAAGCTGTGAGCAAGAGGCAGGTCCAGCTCTCAGAAGATGGCAAGAACAAGGCTGATATTACAGAAACACTCATACCTATGAGGTACTAGGCACAGGTTGTAAGCACATTTCAGAGGGGTTGTAACAGAACACCTCATTAAGAAACATCTCAGTACCGACCTCCTCCCCACAAATAAACAGGTTCAGGAACCGGTCTAAACTGACACCATAACAGATACAAAAAACAGGACTATGTAGCATTTTAAAGATTAACAAGATGGTTTATTAGGTGATGAGCTTTTTTGGGCCAGACCCACTTCCTCAGATCAAATTGGGGAAGAAAATTGGCATGACCATATATACCAAAGGTATACAATCAAAAAAAGTGAACACATATGAAAAGGACAAATAAAATTTCAGAGCAGAGGGGGAATGAGGAGGGGAGGTAAATGTCAGTGAGCTAATGATATTAGTGGTGATAATTGGGGAAGCAATGGGTAAGATAATTAGTAACTTTGTTGAGACCTCAGCGTAAAGTGTCAAATTTAAGCATGAATGACAGTTCAGAGGATTCTCTTTCAAGTCTGGTGTTAAAATATCTTTGAAGCAGGATGCAGGTAATCAAGTAATTGAGACAATGCCCTTTCTGGATGAAATGGCAAGAAACTGTTTTTTCTTTGTGATCCTGTCTAATATCTGTTTTGTGTGCATTGATTCTTTGGCAAAGTGTCTGAGACATTTGTCCAATGTACAGTGGTCTTTGAGGGCTTCCTCAGGTCTGCTATACTGAATCATTGCACAAGGTCAACATAGTAAACGGGAGCAAATGCATGAATGCACACGGCTGAACGGTAATCATCACCGAAGAAGCAGGAGACCTGTCAGGACCCACCAGTGAATCCTGACTACTCTACTGGGATTATGTTTTCCAATGTGTATTTATCAATAATGAATTTTATCTGCCATTAATGCCAATACACCCAGTATTGTGAAATCCATTTGTAACTCCTCACAGTTGGATTTGGACTTCATTTTCCTGCATAATTTTGTCATTTACTCTTTTCCAAATCATATATGAATTTGTTGAACAGTGCAGATTGTTCCAGTATGGATCGCTTGGAGACACTGTTCTTTACCGGTCTTCATTCTAAAAACTTGTCATTTATTCCTACACTTCATTTCTTGTCTTATAACTGTTACTAAGCCATGTGACAGGACTTTCGCTCTTACCCATGATGCTTACACTGCAGAAGAGCCTTTGCTGACGACCTCATCAAGAGCTGTCTGAAATTTCAAATAAATTATATCCTCTGGATCACCCTTGCCCACATGATTGTAGACCCTCTCAAACAATTATAATAGATTGGTGAGGCACGATATTCTGTTACAAAAGCCATCTTGCCTCTTTCCCAACAAATCATGTTCATCTCGGTGTCCGATCATTCTAATCTTTACTGTAGTTTCAACCAATTTGCCTGGTAGTGACATTAGGCTTACCAGCTTGTAAATGCCAGGATTGCCTCTAAAGCCTTTTTTAAAAATTGGTGTCACATTGGCTAAGTTGAGATATGTCTACACTAGCCCCCTAGTTCGAACTAGGGAGGCTAATGTAGGCATTCGAAGTTGCAAATGAAGCCCGGGATTTAAATATCCCGGGCTTTATTTGCATCTTCCCATCCGGGCGCCATTTTTAAATCCCCCTAGTCCAAACTAACTGCCCGTGTCTACACGCAGCAGTCAAATGTTAACTCGAACTAAGGACTTAGTTCGAGTTAACATTTGACTGCTGCGTGTAGACACGGGCAGTTAGTTTGGACTAGGGGGATTTAAAAATGGCGCCCGGATGGGAAGATGCAAATAAAGCCCGGGATATTTAAATCCCGGGCTTCGTTTGCAACTTCGAATGCCTACATTAGCCTCCCTAGTTCGAACTAGGGGGCTAGTGTAGACATACTCTTATAGGTTACATAACACAGTTTGCAGAATTACTATTTCATTTCTGAGTTCCCTCAGCTCTCTTGGGTGAATACCATCTGGTCTAGGTAACTTTAATTTGTATAATTTATTACTTTGTTCCAAACATCCTCTAATGGCACCTCAA